AATTTCGTTTCTGGACTTTGGAGGACTAGTTTTTAGAATAGACCTGAACTATGGAGACAACATGAAAGACATACCTTGGGAATACCTCTATTTGTATATCTGAATGTACGATATCATGGATGCATATGGTTCCAGATTGCGTAAAGAGAAACAAGCTGACAGATAATCAAATTTTTGTGCGTTATGAATTAATCAAATAATTTAGGGTTAGGTGCGACTCTGTTTGTTGGTCATTATGTAGTTCTACGTGGAAAATGAAACGATAGATTTTTATGCAAAAACAGTGCTAAGCGCGTTTTAAACATATTTTCAACAAGTAATTTGAAATTTCTCTTCACCTTGCGCTGTCCATATCCCCTCGGTTTTTATTCCTTCCCTATAATTTTGTATGGATTGCGAGTAGAGAAAAATGTGTGCTTCTGCTTTTCAAAACGCAACAAAATCCTCTACTTGAGTTAAAAACTATTTCTGTTATTCTGAAGATTACAACATCACTTTTCGAATTCCGTTTACTCTTTTTATGATAATTTGCCAATTATACAAATTAAAAACAAATAAAAATGGAAATTCAGAGGAAATATTTGATTTTCTAGCCGAATAAAATATTTTCAGTGTTTGTAAACAACAAGATTAATTAAAACTCTATGAAATACTAGTCAGTTTATCTGAAATGTTTTCAATGTTTGTAAACAACAAGATTAATTAAAACTCTATGAAATGCTTATCAGTTTATCTGAAATGTTTCTTTCTAATTACAAACACATTTTTGCTTTTCAAATGATACAATTATTTAGTTGAGGCTCTTTGTAACTATAACCAAAGTCCTTTAATACTTCTGAGTTCTAAATTCTGGCTCTTACTGACATAAAGTTTAGCCATCCCCGATATTTGTTGCCAAGTTCAAAGAACCATTTAAAACAGGTATTCTGAGCTGCGTTAAATTACAGTCTTTGGAAAAGCATAAGATGGATATATACTCCTTCCCTCTTCGGGAAATTACTTCTTTGTTGAACATACTATTAGCTAAAGCAGTGTAGCTCTGTTAGTTCGCTCCAGGTTACAGAAACAAAATGCAAGCATTGTGATTTCATGCTATTTTTCAGCAAACGATCGACAAGATAACACAATTACATTTTGAATAAAAGTTTAAATGTGAAATACTCTGCTTTAAGCTCCTTTTCTTTTTTTAATTTCTCTTTTTTCACCTTTAGTAGTATTAATTCTAGTGCAATAACTTTTAAAATATGAATACTAGAAGTAATGGAATTCTACTTTTTGCGTGTATACATGCGTATTCGACTATAGGGGTCCTCTTAAATTTTTGATCTTGCTCGTTATATTAGACATTAATTTGTATACAATTTCAATAAAAGAAATTGGAATTCTGCAAACTACTCAAGGAAAACTTTCTGATGTAGATGGGTTATGTACATACCATATTTAAACAAATTCTTTGTGATAATAAAGATCTACATAATAAAATGTAGAACTGCAAATGCCAGCTGCCATACGGAAGCTTAATTATAAAAGAAAAACATCATCTAAAGAAAAGAAGAGACTGTTCATGAGTTCAAAACATTGAGTTAACAGAAGCAGAAAAATGTAAAAATGAATACCATAGAAATATGTAGCGAAGAATTTGTTTTGCAAAATCGTTTTCCAGATTATTTGATGCAGATTTGAATTTCAAATTAGAAACTCTAGTTTTACACCAAGTAGTAAAATCCTCTATTTATAGAAACTATCGTAAAGTTTTAGATATTTCATTATCATTCAGACACCAAGATTTAATTGTTCTTCATTAATACGAAAATAATCTTTTAATCCACAAAGGTGGAATACATGAAGAAGATCACGTTCTTTGCTGTGATCTTTGGAAACAGAAAATGCAGCTAATTCTGGCAGGTACACTTATATTTTAAGGATATAATTTATGAAGATAAAGTATACTAATATTTTAGGCTATTATATATTTATAACTGCATATAGCTGAAGTTTAGGCGAAGTAGGAAATGTTCATATCCCATTTTTATTCATAAAGAAAACGAAGCAGATGCAAAAAAGACCACTGTCAACCAAGATTTCATCGTGTTATGTAGCTTATTGATATTACTTGTTAATGAAATATTATATTAATATACTATACCCTGAAATTTATATTAATACAGGTTATAGTATTTAACATAAGTTTTCAGCATATTTTCCATACTTTTAGCCGCATTTTGCGTTTCCAGGGAACACCACGGGGAGGTAGTCTGTTAGTCCCCCACAAGTTTTATTTAATTTCTATTTATTGTTTATATTTAGCAACCTGATAATGTACAATATATAATACACTATAACATTTAAATATGCGTAATATAATAATAATATACAATACATATTACACTATAACACTTAAATATACGCAACATAACAATGATATACAATACATATTACACTATAACATTTAAATATACACAACATGACAATAATATACTATACATAATGCACTATAAACATCTAAACATGCAATACTTCATGGAATCTTGGTAATTAAATTTCAAAACAGCTTCATTTAGATAAGCGCACTATGTAACAGAACTTTACTATAAACATCTGCGAATTGTTATATCACTTCAGCGAAGCTTTGAACGGTAGTTTTAATAACTTTATTTTAATTGTACGTGTTTTTTGTATTCCTCTTCTTTTTTTAGCAGAATATTCAGTTCTAGTTTGTTTCGTAGCATATCATAATATTGTGCTTCTTTCTTTAAATGCAAAATAGGTTCTAATATGTCTGGGTTCAGTTTTTAACATGTTTAATTTAATTTATTAAGCACCTTTGAAACGCATTCGCGTTCTATGTCTTTCATCGTAACAGTTCTACGTATCTTTAACTGTATCATTGTCCAACGACTGATCAACCATATAGTTATTAAAGCATTCAATTTTCATATTTTAGGAAGAGGAATTTTCTATGATATGCATCGATGCTTTCAGGGGGTATGTGTGCCAAGGCAGCACACATATGAACATGCATTCTAATTTCCTCGTTTTTTCTGTAACGGGAAGTTATACATCTGTATCTCCCTCCATAGACACTGATTGAAGTGAAAATTACATCCTTTTATTATGGAGTCAGGAAATATTTTCGCGCAACCAATGCCCCCGTTTCAAAGTGTTTCGATGATCCATATATTTGGCTTCCATGTAGGGAGTAAATGGCGAAGAGCTGTAAGCAATTTTTTACATGTAATCTGCGTTTTATCAGTTTATCCACTAGAAATCCATATACAGTACGGGATATTTCGTTATCTTCTGCAGTCCACATAAGCTGTATAAATCTGCTTACTGTTTGAAATTAAGGGAGTTTCTGATACGAAATCGAGAACTGTATGAAACACTCTAGAAAAATGGTTCTATGTTGATCTTTGAAACAGGTGTCAGTTCTTTTATGAGATCTCTTATGGCATTCAATTTTATGTTTCTCTATTTCTATCCGTGAAACACCAGGGATGCATGAATGAGCTTGTCTTTTATTTAGCAGGTGACGTCTTTCATCTGTCAACAAACTTCCATTGCATTTAGCAGCTCTACATACCCGTGTCATGTATCCATCTTTAAGAGTTCGTTTAACATGATATACCGTTTATACGCAACAGAAGGTCTTCCTTTAGAAGTCTGCAGAATTTTAACTTCGCCCATTGAAAAAACAAGTAACTTCGCGTCCAAGAGCCAAGTCCCGAAATTTCGCAGAGTCGAAAATGATAGCTTTACCAAAGAGTCTTCGTATTTCACTCCATTTAACTTCAAGTCTAGGACAAATAATCGAAGGCACTTTCACATTTTCTCATCTGACATGGGATCAGAAGAAATCACATGGGTAACTTCGTTCGTAGAAACTTCATTCACATAGTCCATAGATTCCGTAAATGGGAGAATTGCTGACAGCACATCTGTAATTCGATTGCGAATCCTTCTCGAGCGCTGAGGCAGCAGGCAGCGACTTCGCAGACAGCTTATTTCTTCCCATATTTTGCCTACGGAGGAGTTCAGTGGTAAATTTGTCGTCTTTCCTAAACAATCTGGCATGTTTTGGATCTCAAAACTGCTTACGACCCATATCTTAAGAGTCCACTATAGAATAGAATATTTTCTCAGCCCTTCGTAAAGCAACTTTAGCGGGTTTAGCCTCCTTCAACTGTTGTTGAAGATTATCGACTTTTCTAAGGGCTTGAAATAAATCTTATCCTCTGGATTATTTTCTGAATGCTCAAAGTAATACAGAACAGCGTAGGACTGATCTACGAGGAAAGCGCATTGCTCGTTAGGCATAGCGAGGCACGTAAACGCACGAGTCGAAGACATCTAACAAAGTCACGTAGGAAGAGCCAGGCGAGAGCGACAGGAACTCACAAAGGCAACCGCCGGAATCTTGATTTGAGAAATATATCTCTTCCCTGAATGGTCATTTATTGTACTGGAGGTTGAAGATCGCAGATAATACTCCTCGGAAAGCAATGTTACAGGCTTTGCTAGCTATTACTTTTTAGAACATATGGGAACGATCAACGAACAAAGCATCACCCCCACAGGCATCAGTCATGGACGAACAAGCCCTCAGGCTACTAAAAACTATTCAGCATTTTCGGAGGAAAGGGAGTTCATCACTGCTGACACTTTGGAAATTCGAGAGAGCAAAAGCTGAAAGGCGCTTTGGCATGGCTAAGGGAAAATGCCTTGATTGATTTTGAGCTGGAAATGCAGGATATATTTTTTTCCTGCACATAGAGGGACTTCTCATATTCAGGTTCAACTGCAGTAATTACGTCACGCATGATATTTCGCTGTTACCGCTACTAACTTGAATTTTCACTGTACTTTAATAGCTTTCGGTTTGTTACAGTATAATATTATGTTAGTAAGGGATTTCGCGTTTTAGAGCGGTCAGTTATGAGAAGCTAAGCATTTCATACCTGTGAAAGAAATCAATACAGATCTTTCCTGAATCTTATTACCTGTGGATTATTCCTTCGATGCTGAAGAACTTGTATAAGATTATTTCGCAGCATTTTGGCTGGTTTCGTACCTTTATTCAAGATTCCTAATACAAGATCTTGCAATTTCAGGCACAGGCGTCTTAGGAATGGTAAAGTTACTGTTAAAAAAAAATACCTTCATATAAAACAGGAAATTTATATTAGAAAGAACTTATATGAAGTGTGTTATTTTTATGGTTATTAAACTAAACCGTGTATCAACTGACTTCAAATGTCTCATTTCAGTTTTCTAATAGAGTAGAATAGCTAGAGCTTTACCGCTCAGGGAAGGGCCATGAATTTGCCGCCCATCTTAATATGCAAATAAATAAATAAAATGTCAAAACGACATATAGGGATATAAATTTAAACTCAGTGCTTATTTTCGAAGAAATAATTTAATTCCAAAATTTTAAGAATTATATTATTATTTTGCTTGTTTTTTCGTGTCGCAAAACCATCGATGATATTGTAGAGGTGTGTTCGATTGCTCCAGCTGCTGTTATGTAAATAGAAAAATTTCTTAAATGCAAAATAAACATTTGTAGTTCCTAAATAAGCGTTAATTTTTATTTCGCAACTAACAAGACGTACTGAAATTGCGAGAAAAGTTCACAACAGTAATGCAATATTTGGAACTTTTTTCTGGAGACTGTATTTAAGAATAAACAGCAAAAATTCAAAAGGATCGCCTTTCCACGTTCCCGTTTCTTTTTCTGCAACAATAACTCTAAAATACTTCCTTCTTAACGAGAAATTTTTCTCTATTAATGTCTGAGTTATTAAAATTGATTTTCGTAATTTTCTTTCAAAAGTTTTGAAGGACTAATAAAGTTACAACAAAAGTATATACTGTTGAAGTCTTGTGGTGATTTCTTTGAATACTTTATCTAGAATAAAAACCACTTTTTTCTTCAATTTAATTCCGTATGGCAGTTCAAAATATCATTATTTTTTTACATGCCTCGACAATTTAATTTATGTCAGTTATTTTTAATTTGCGAGCCTTTCCTGCTTTCTCTTATTCCTCTCGCGTTTCTTCGCTAGGATGTAAATGAGTTACAGTGAAAGAGAGTATTTGAACTGTAGGAGCGAAAAGTTTAGTTAGAGCGTGATTTCGCTAATTAACAATTATGGATTATTATTATGGATACTAACGGTGATGTTACAATTGTCTATTTCAAATTGTAATTTGTTATTTATTTAAAAAAATGTCCTGATAAATATAAGTGGTGTACTTTAGGCGATAGTAGAATATTTCATTTTCATTTCACTTGATTATCAGACAGTAGCATATCTAGAGCGAAGCGGATGGGGCGATTCGCTCAGGGCAGCAAATTTTTGGGGAGTCCCCAGTTTTTTGCAGGAAACACTAGTTTATGGGGGTTGAAAGTTAACAGCTGGCCAGCTATCCAGCTGTTAACTTTTATATCGATTAAGCATTCTTGCCGCCGAGCTATTCTGCCGGTGCAGGTTTTTGAGTCAAATTGTTAGCTTAAATTGAATTGTGTGTTCTCGCACTACTCTTTACCTTTAATTTTAGTGTTACATTATCTTTTAAGTTTTCACCTCAAGTGGTCTATTCATTACATTGAGTTCAATAACAGTGTGTTTTATAGCCTTTCTCTGGTTGTGTTTATCTTCAAGACTAGGCGAGAATTCTGAAGTATCAACACTTAGGTAAATATAGTCACATTTTATGATAACATAAATATAGTCACATTAAACGAATTAGATCTTACAACCCCCATAAACTAGTGTTTCCTGCAAAAAACTGGGGACTCCCCAAAAATTTGCTGCCCTGAGCGGATCGCCCCATCCGCTCCGCTCTAGATATGCTACTGTCTGATAATCAAGTGAAAATGAAAATGAAATATTCTACTATCGCCTAAAGTACACCACTTATATTTATCAGGACATTTTTTTAAATAAATAACAAATTACAATTTGAAATAGACAATTGTAACATCACCGTTAGTATTTTACTTACTCATATATATAGGATTTGTTGAATGGTAAATACTTTGAAATATCTTTGAAAAAAAAACAAATCTAATTTAGCTCTAACATAGGAATATGTTTTACTTGCGTGATGAAAAGCAAAACTCAGCTCATAAGACTTGAGAGTAGGAGTAGCTAATAAATAAGTAGGAAATAATTTTGAGTAGGTTTCCTGTACATACTATTTTTATTTTAGAAAGCCCAATGGCGTAGCCAGAGCTTTTGCCGCCTGGGCAATCCCTAAGTTTGTCGTCTGAGGCGGTCTCCGAATTTGTCTACCTCTCTAAATACTCCAGGAAACATAGCTAAAAAACAATAAAATGACATATAGGGAGATAAATAAATAAAAGAAAATTGCGTTTATTTTCGAAGTAAAATTTTAATTCTGCCATTTTTATTGTTTTGCTTGTTCTTCTGACATTATAGGGTTCTGCTTCATAGCACTAGTTACATTCAATATAGAAAATTAAACAAATTTTTAGAAAAATTTCTTAAATGCAAAATAGACTTTTGTAAGCCTTATTCTTCTTAAATGATGTTTTACTCAGAAAATTTTCTTCACTAGAGACACCCGCAGAAATTATGAGAAAAGTTCGCAGTAGTCAGTGCCGCTTTAATAGCATTATGAGCCCCTGGGCAAACGAGCGTCCTGGGACCTCCTACAACAGCAATTCATAGAAATTAAATGTAAATAAATTAACACTGGGGGGCCTCTCTGCTCGTGAAACCGTCGGGCAAATACCAGTGGGTCTATGCGTTAAAGCAGACCTGACAGTTGTGTTATGATATTAACTTTGTTCTGGAAATTGTCCTTTAGAAAAACGGAAAAAGTGAAAAGGGCTCCCTCTTTTCTTTTCTTTAGCTTTGATGGAAGTAAAATACTAAAATATTTTTCTTTAAAGAAGACCTTCTTCCTTATTAATGTTAAAATGTCCATAATTTAGTTGATAACTCTATTTTTCTTTTAAAAGTTATGACGAAATAAAGTAGGTACAACAAGAATATACATATAGCTATATATACATATAGCTGCTGAAATCTCGTGGTAGTTTCTTTGACTACTTTATCCAGTGTGAAAACCACTTTTTTTTCTCAGTTTAATTTTAGATGTCAATTCATAATCTCGCTATTCTTAGTTTGCTTAACAAGACTAACCACCTATAAAATAATATTTCATATAAAAAATGCCACCCCCTGAAAATATACCGCCCAGGGCGGACCGCCTCCATCTACTCCACTGAGTAAGCCATTTTTTAAAGTATAATAAATTCTCATGTGACTTTAAGCACAGTGAATCATATACACATATATGTAATGTTCTTTTTAAATAACACGTTAATTTTATGTTAATTATTTCCTGTAACTGCTGTTCCTTTCACCACCTCCACAGAATACTAAATAGCTGGGACTTAAATAATGGGCGAAAGTGAAATTTAGAGAGCTTGACAACGCAAGAGGAAAACTTTTTATTTCGGTAGCCTCCCACCTGGTGTACGTGCTGCGCTGCTTTCGGATAACATGTTCTGATAATTGCTAGAGTGTATGCTTAAAGATCGTGAATAATTGTGAGTCAGGTTGTGCAGATATTAAAGTTGTTGTGTTACAAATATTTAAGCATTCTATATTCCCAAGAACCTGCAAGAAGCGGTAGATAAGCTTTGTTAAATTTTAATTGTACCTAGAGGTCCTAATTTTATCACTTCTTCGTGATTTTAAAAGTTCTAGACTTCAAATTAAAGGGACAGAGACAATAAACTCTCCAAACCACACGAAACTCGGACAAAAGTCCCTTAGGGTTAACCTTACACACACAAGGTGATCCAAAAGTAAGAGAAAAGTAAAATTTTATTACTCGAAAAGTATAGATAGTAGTAGCACAACATGGTTTTCACAGAAAATTCCCAGACAGAGACATGGGATATTCTTCAACAATGAAAGCTTTTATAACCAGAATAGTTACATTTATTGTCGAAAGATAGTGCTTCAGTTGTGACAGAAGTTCGTACAGGTACAACTAGAACTTCTGTATTACTACATGTGACTGAGGTACTACTGAACCTAGCTAACGGTTAAGGGTCCTCCCTAATTTTAAAGGAGAGTACCTCGGGTTGTCTGGCAGTCTCCCACCTACCTTTGCCGACAACCTCTCGAAAGGCTTTTTTTTTTTTTTTTTTTTTGTCGTGTATTTCGAGTACCTCCTTGCCGCAGAGACCTTATACGCTTACAAACATCCATGCCTTCTCCAGGATACACCTTTAATGAAACTTTAAACAAGACAAAGCAAAGCAAGATTTAGAGCAGAGTATTCGAGATGAGACACCACAGGTTAGTGAAATCAAGCTGTAAACTAATATTTCAACTTGAATTTTTCATGCTTATGCGAGTTTAAATTTCAAAGAAATTCTGAAAAATGACCGAAAAATATGCCAAACTTTTGGAGAAAATTTCTGCTAATATTCGTGTCCTTCGAAGGTAGTTATAAAAATTTACTAATGGAGATGAATCGCTTGAAGATCCTCCATATGGATGAAAGCTGCAGACGAAGCAGATCTTGCTCTTACATGCTTCTTATTCGCATAAATACTTATAATATAAAAAACAAATTGACAAAATGATACGATTGCATTTCCATCGCATTAGAAGTGTATGCAAGTTTAGCAAATGAACACTCCATGGAATGGACAGAATAATTTTTAACAGATTATACACTGCCAATGTGCATAATCTGTTAAAGATTTGCTTTGGATTGCTTTTTCCTGCAATGGAATTATATCTTGTCCCTTTCCCTTTTTCAGCTTAGGAGCAAAAATGGATCTTATGGAGCAGTCCCAAAAAATAAGTTTGGTATTTATTGATTATCTTCTTTGTCATAAATCTCAAAGCAGAAAGTCCATTAGCAGAAAGTTTTATTGCGTATACAATAGGCGACTGCTAGAATTTTCACTACGAAAATCACCGTTTGTTTGCTTGGAATATTTATTGCGGCTATCGATCGCCACTAATTATAACTATGAATCGTTTCTTCAGCCTCATTCTGTATAAACGGGGCCGGCTGCCATACCATTGGACACGAGTTCGAATTCCGGACAATGCATGGATAATTGCAAATGTGTAGTATCGTTGCGTCATGGAGAACACAGTATCGTCTACCCAAAAGTTTCCCCCGAAGGGTTCTCGTCGGGTGAAAGAAGGCTAGGAGATACTTGAATCTATGATGTTCTTCCTCGAAATTGGACCGAGCCGAGGAAACTCGTTATGACCTACAACGGGCACAAGACATAGGTCAACGAAAGAATTACTCTTTGCCTTTCGGCCACTATAGAATTTGTGGAATCCATCTGTTTTTTGTTCAGATTAGGAGGATTAGTAACAACAACATCATAAATCACTTTTTTTCTTGGAAGCACCGGTATTCAGTTAGAACGTCGCAAGGATATTCTGCTCCATCACGGTGTTGCAAAGTGTCATGTCTGACGTATGGATCTGTTACAAAATTCGAAATCCATATACATCTTTCTCATTACCTTGACATCAATGTGTCAGGTTATTACAATTTTAAATATAGAGCATGATCTGAGAAATAAAAAAATATGCCGTGGAGATGGAGTTTCTCTACAAGTGAAAAATATTTTTTTCACTTGTAGAGATAATAGCTTTTACCAAAGCGGCTTCTATAAGCTTTTGTTTTTTTTTTTATCAGGAAGAAGATAATTATTATCTAAATGAATAAATATATTTCTGTTTGCATATATTTGTATTTTTGTCATATGTTGTAAAATGGCCGGTACGATTATGATTATCTAACATCATAAGTCTTGGGGGAAAAGCAGTGACCCGATCATAAAAAAACGGAAAATTGTCAAGGATTCTTCTTTAATCGTGTGACAATATTCATTGTACTGGAAGTCGAATGCAGAAATCGCTTTATAGAGGAATGCTGTGGCTATTAATTTGACAAAGCTGTTCATGGTGATTTTAAATTTATTACTTTGTAGAGCCCCTATGATGGTTTGTAAAGGTTGTAAAGACCCTATAATGGTTTGCTGAACCAGTAAGCCGAAATTCCAATTCCAAATCTCTCGATTTCGAGCCGGATGTGCAACACCACGAAGGCACGCCGCAAGGAAGAAGAAAATATCTAACTTTTACTAAATGTGAATACTCATTTGAAAGTTATATGCAGATATGCATGAGTACGCGTATGTTCCTATAGGACAGTTAGAATTTCTTGCCACTATTCGGTACTTATACGAATCAGAGGAAAAACACATTCAACTTAGTTTTTTCGAAGAATAAAAGATATATTCAGTGTTGCTGAAAAATGTAATCAAGTTGAAAGAAACTGTAGCTTTCTCCTCATGTGGGGAATTGCTGTTTAATGGGTAGCACATCCATCCAGCAACTGGATGATGTGTTTTGATCCTTGGCGATGGCACAATTCCTTAAAAGTTAAAAGACCCTATAATGGCGTTAGAATTAAAAATATGCAGTAAAATAACTTGTCACCATTTGGATTTGATCTCATGCCGTTCCTATTTAGATATCTGGAAATTATCCTTTAGTTATCTGGGAGAATGTAAGGAATTGTATCATTTCTTTCTCTCATATGTGGTGTTTTGGTGTGATGGTTAGCATATCCACCTAATAAAATGGGAGATCTCTGATTCTACTCTGAGTGAAGGCCAGCTTATTTTTTCCGATTCCTGTTCGGAAATACCTGATAAACTGTACAGAGTTGTTCTTCAAAAACTAAAAAATAATCATTCAAATTGATTCATCAGCAAAACTGATTGAAAATGAGGCTTAGGATAATCATTAAGATATTATATAAGATAATTAAGATATTAAATTTAATATTAAAAGGCCTAAGAATAAGGCTATTTCAAACGAGAGCTATAAGGTGACTATACATCTTGTGACATACTTATTATATCTATAAGGTGACTATACATGTCGCCTTCAGGATATAGTAGCATCACATTCACAGGAGACCAGCTCGAAATCGTTTATAAGCAACTATATTACTGAATATAGTGAGCATTTTCCTGTAATATATAAAATAAATATTGGTTTTACTTGGAAATTTAACTTCTAAAAGCGCAGTTTTAACGACTAAATTTCTGGAAAGCTACAACAGAAATAATGCTGTATGCTAGGCTTTCAGATTCCTGTCACAGCAATGTGTTTTAGTAGATTCTGTAAGAGAAGAAAACAGTCTCATTATTTACGAATCTCGAAAATCGGTTTTAGAATAATATTAACTTACGTCCAAGGAAAATGATTGGATCCTTATAACGACTTCTAAATAGTACCTGAACGGCTCGAAGAAGTTTCGATTTGAAATTCTTCTGAACATCCGTTCTAACTCCGAAAGCCGTCCGAGTTATGACATCCATTGTTAATCTCTGGTAGGTATCCAGGATATCAAATTCTTTATTAGCCTCCGCTCGTTCTCGAATTATTCCAAGCATAATTTCTATGGATGAATTCATGCTGCTTGCCATCTGCCCAAAAAGAACGAATAACATGAAGTCAGCTCCAAATTTATCACACCAAAATTATGTATAATCAAAAGCTTTAATTAGTTTTAATGTCCTGGCTTTTAAAATAAAGCAGAAATTATGCGAGCTCACCTGTTTCATTTTTGCTGTGGTAAAAGTTGGTGTCAGGACACTCCTCACCTCTTTCCACGGTTGTCCTGGTAACATGAGGATGCTTTGAAGTTCCTTTTCTTTCGGACTGTATTTTGCTAGTGGGTTGAATGGCTTCATAAAAAATAAAAAATGAGATGCATCATTAAAATGTTGTATTAAAATTTTATTCATTATTGCAGAGTATTAAACTGAATGACTGAATAATATTAAAAGGAAAATCTGCTCCAGAACCTTCAAAAATATTTTCTCTTATATAGTCAGAATTGTGATTAATAATGTGTACTCAGAAAAGAGAAGAGGTGTTTATAAAATATCTCCGAATAATATAGCATAGGAGTTCATTTCCTATAAAATTTCAAAAGAAAATTCCGAAAAATGAAAAAAGGCTTGAGTGATTTAAAATTCGGAAAGAAATAACACAGAAATTTACGGATTTCATTTACAAAGATTTACAAATTTACAAAGAAATTACACAGAAATTTACGGATTTTATATACAAGAAAATATTAAAGTTATGTTTGAGAACAACTCATGAATCCATTATAATAGCCAGATAATTAGAGTCCATTGTAATCAACTATTACAAAAGTAAAATATGTAAAACTTTCCGGTTTACAGATATTGGGATATTCCATATTCCAGAAAATACGTATAGAATGTATCCTCCCCCCCAAAAAAAAAAAATGGGCGCAAAATTAATGCCTGCGGTTTTCATTTAGGACTTCGACCAAACAAGAAAAAGCAAATGCAGACGTTAACCAATTACAAGCTCCTTGGGTACTGAAAGCAGAATAGAAATGTTCAGTTTCAGAAATTCCCAATCTGACAAAACAGTAAAATTGAGTTGAAAGCTTTCCGAAGTAATGAATTTCCTAAATGCTCTTGAGCAACTTTTCCTTTTGTTATTTGTTCATCGTTATTATTTTAATCATAACAAAAGAACAATTTTCATTGCATTGTAAAATTCTTCTCAGATGTATTCTTTTCAGCCAAATTAGCTATTTATAACAGAACATCTGTCTTTCGTTGATCGGTAAAAATTAAGTAAATATAATGAATCCTTTCTAAGACGACCACTGAAACGATTTGTATCTTATGTTAAGGTGGATGCCTTAGCAAGGTCATGATCAATACTGACGTTATGTTTTCAATATTGATTGCTTTTAACACATACGGGACCACTCTCCTAAAAATAGGACGGCCCAATTAAATTTCGCTAAATGGAAAAGAAAAGTAAACAAATAGATAAACTATTGCTTAAGTCCCATGATATAAACATAAGTTTCATATGTAGGTTAAAAAAATGGCCTGTCATAATTAACGTCATTAAAATGACTCTTTAAAATGATTTATTTTTGAGCTGTTATTTAGGATTAAAATCTATAATTTTTCTAAATACATTTCTGCTAGTAGATTCATAGTATTATTTGTAGAAAAAATATGCATGAAATATTATCTGTATTTTGTTTGTATTTTATAGGTGTTCTGTATAAACACGACAATGGTCCGATCCCCAATTTTTTTTCTCTCATCACTCCCTCCATTCATAAGTTGCATTCCTTCAAACCAATTTTGATCAATAACTATTCATACAATGACAATGACATTAGAGCGACATATGGAAGGATTAGGGAATAAATTAGTATTCTGGAATTTTCTGTGGTTTTTTTTTTGTATCACTTTACAAAAGTAAAATGTGACGCAGCCTCTTAAATAGAGTTTTCTCAGTAAAAGAACGTTCATCCATGTGACGTTTCCTTGGCAATACTAGAAGCAAGTGCTACTTTTGTATAAAACAGATAACATTTCGAACAGAAATAAGCCCGGAAAATTTCCTTTTGACCATGAATCCAAGTGGTTCCTTTGTTGGCATTCAAACATGGATCTTATATGAAAGGTCCTCTTATAAGGTCCACGCATTCAAAACTGTGACAACAGAGGAAACCTTTCTATAGAACTGCAGATGCGCTTGTTCTTTTAAGAGAAAATAATACCCAATATTTCTTTTTTATAATGTTGATCAGTTACTTTCCTGTGTATTATTTGAGTGAAAATTTTGTCTTTGAAAGATAAATATTTGTAAAATGGCAAGAAAATTTCTAATAGTTCAAAGGCTCTTGAATATATGAATTCTCTTTCTGATGAAGAAATTGATGAGCTTGATATTGTTATTATCCCCCTGAACTTGATTAAGTTAGTGATGAGGAACAGATAGATGATTCTGTCACAATCTGTAACATATCAGTACCATGTGGCGAATCTGAAACAGAAGATACAGTACGAAGTATAGAAATTTTATCAAAACCCTCTGCAGAACCTAGTTTTGAAGTAAAAGTTCCAAAGTGGAAAAAATTTGAATCACAGTTCATGATTTCACCAAACTGTATTCCTTTTCAAGACCGTCAATATATTGTATAACTGTGGTTTGGGGAAAAATAGCAATTGAATTTTTCACATAATGGCTGAAGACATAATATCGCATACAGTTTTAGAGAATAATCAGTATGCAAAACAAGCAAATGATCATTCTTTTAGTGTCACTGAAAGTGAATTCAAGCATTTCCTAGGTGTCTTGTTTTACAGTGGATATCATATTTTACCACGTGAAAAAATGTATTGAGAAAATGCCTCCCGACACAGGTACAACTTTAATGATTGAGGCTATGACCACGAATTAATAAAGTGATATCAAGTTTTAGAATATGCAAACTGTTCAGTGAAAAGTATAGCATTTAATTTCGTACAAAATGAAATGTTGCTCAAAAATGTATTCTTTTCCCATACTTAGGACTCTGAAATATTGCAGAAAAAGAAGTTATGTACATTTATATGTATATCTAAGACGTAATTACAAAATATTTACGTCCGATCGTGTCAAATCCCATTGATCTTAATGGTAAAACATTCAATGTTTTGGTCACCGGGAAGAGATCACCAGTGCTTCGAAGCAGCCTTGGGGGAAACCGGTTAGGGCCTCTCCTTACTTCCTACCTCCATGCCAAAACTATAGCCCCCTTGGCGATATTTTGCTAATTTAGCGAGATAACCATTTACTCAATGTTAAATAGAGTTGCCGTATTCTTATTTTTCCGGTAAAGCTTCGCTTCTTTAGATTTTCATATTATATTATACGAAAGATACTACAGTTTTACATATAATTTCACTAAAATTATTTACATTTGCACAAACTATGTAAAAATATTATTCCATATCAAGGGGCTCAAGTAAAGTGCACGGAACCTCTTTCTCAGTGTGTGGTGGAAAACTTACTTTCGATAACGGAAAACCCGAAATTTCACAGGATATACTTGGAAAATTTTTTCACAGCTCATGGGTTACTTGTTCGTTTGAAAGAAAAATAATTGTTTGCAGCTGCAACTGTACGAAATAATAGAGCGGCAAAATGCTCACTTGTGCCTTCGAAAACATTGAGTATAATCGAGAGAGGGTGTTTTGATGCATTGTTTTATGAAGCAAACAAAATCGTACAGTATGACTGAATGATAATCGAGTAGTGTCGTTGCTGACAAATTTCGTTGAAGCGAAAGGAGAAAACAAAGTGGAGCACAGAAGTGAGAGAAAGGAACATCACACGTGACATCAAAAATGTTCAATATGCTGTCCTTCGCCTTCTAGTACAAGCTACAGCTTCAAAATAGCTTTCCACACAACAGACCTGAGCATTTCTCTAGAGAGGCTGCGTATGTGATGCATGTTACTAGTTGTCAGTTTCGTTAAATTTCTAAATTCTCCATCAAATTAAAATTCATTTAGATCTCTCCAAACGCACGATTTCAGGGTTGGTGAATGTGCTAGCCATGTTACAGAAAAATGGGGTCTGATTATTATTTCATTTCCAAAATAAATGTTAATTATCGGCTACTCCGAGGTTATAGCATACGGTAGATCTCCATTTCACAAGAAAATAGTGATATCGAGACACTGGCGCTTTTGCAGTGTCTGTGTAATGTGATTTATAAAGCATATTCATATCGATGGCCTTTGACAGAGCAGGTAATGGAAGCCTTTCGTACCGACAACATCAAAAATAACCGGAAATAAATGCTGCTGTAATTTTTGGGGAATAAAGAGGCACTTGACATAATGCATTTGGGAGCAATAATAATATCATGAAGATGGAATGGTCGTGCCTTATTTAGTACAGAGGTAAGTTAAGTGAACCATTCAACTTCGAATCAAAAAGGGTACGTGGACAGTTTTTCTTCTGAGTCTTGTATATATTTATATACATATATTTTATCATTTTGTTTTATTTTAAAATATTTTACTGCGCAATTCATTTTAACTCATGGCCTATGGGTTTCTCATGACGCAACTTCATGTTTATTTGTCCTCGATTTCTTTTCATTATTAGCATTCTGAAGCCTTATAAGTTGTTAGGTTATTTGGATAACTAATGATCATTAACTACTCGTAAATATTTATTATGGACCATGGCGCATATTTACAACACACATGAATAAGAATAAGTCTATGCAGGGTACCGTCGAGGATCGAACGCTGACAAAATTAGCAGCATTAGATAATTTTCAGAGTTCCACCATGCACAGGCAATAAATATTAAGAAGTACGATAAACTTCAAATGGTATGACATCTTCTTTCTACCATCTTTAAAGTTCGAGGGTATAATTGGGTAATTTGCTTGTAAATGTGTTTAAACATAGTGACCATCATCTGAAATTTCTGGTATCATAAGTAAAACGTTAAAAAATGTAACAACGATGTTAATATTTCTGATTTAAAACTATCATCCAAAATAAAATAGTATAATTTTACCTCTCGATTTATAAACTTCGGAAAATCTTTGATAAATATCTTTTTCAAAAGCTGAGGATCAGTCACTAATAATGCTGGTGTCATGCCATAATAGTAGCTGTAAGAAATATTCGTAAAATTAACATTTAGTACAAGTGAATGAAAGAAGAGATAAAAGAAATATTGTTGAGAAATTTCAGGTATGTAAGATAAAAAATATGAAAGCAAACTTCAAACAAATTAATCACGCTATCCTACGTAACGCTTAATGCAGATACCTCTTGCCCAGTCACTAAATAATTGTAAACCAAAACTTTTTTAACTCGAACTGAAACTTTTGACTCCTTCCCTTCTTCCTCTGAATTTCCGACACTTTCACTTATTGCTCCTGGCAACGCGCTTTTCGGCTACTTTCTTTGCTCACGGAGTATGTGCTGAGCTGACAAGCATAAGACGCCCGTCCGGATGTGAACTAAATATTGCGAATCCAGAATTGCTTTCCTCAATAATAAAATTGCCTTGAATCCGGCCATGTCTGCCTTGCCAAGTTTCTTCACTACGCATCTATTATGTCACTACTAAGTTCGAAATCATTCATATCATGTCATCGAACCGCAGACTTATTACACACACACACATATATATAGATAATTAGAATACCAATATGAATACATACAATTCCACGGAAATATCCACAAAGCCATGATGGCATTTTCCTGGAACTTTATACTCTTCCACTTCTACTTTTACTATGACTACGGACTCATTTAGTGATTCAAACACGAAGGCATATTATTGTCTAACGTAATCCCCGTCGAATAATCGTAGCATTCCTATGCAAGGTGACTAAGCAACAATAACCTACCCTGTTCTTGAAACTCTTCAGTGACAAAGAATAAATTTACGTCTGTCGCTACCCTGAGCTTCTTCCACCGAACAGGTATCATTCCGCATGGATTTCTAGGACGGAAGCCTGCTCCGTGGCGTACAGTACCTCCAGTTAGTTTTAGAACTAAATATTTACAACACGATATAGTGAAGCTGCTGAAAGATGATTAGTAATAACGCTTACTAAGATATTCCAACTTATTTTCTTTAAAATATAATTTACTTAAAGTTGAAAACTGGTTACAAAAATAATTCTTTTGCTTTTTAGATGACCTTCATATATTCAGTAATTATGCATTAAAGTTTTTAATGAATAAATACTGTATGTGAGGATATGATATATCAATTTAAAAAAGTGGAAATGGAAGACTTACTTGATTGGTTTGTTGGGTTATGGCAAAGCACTCGAGAGCTATCTGATTAAGAACAGGGATGCCTTCGTGGAGGACTTTCTGAGAGAAACTGGCTTGTATACACGTTGCACATGGGGAAAACCACGAAACTGCTCATACAGCCACCCCGTTTGCAGGATTCGAACCTCGGACCGAACTACCAGTGTTCAGCGACTTTACCGCTGTGGGCCGAGCCCTACTTGAATATCTTTGGAAAAATATAAAAATCGAAGTAAAACAAAAAAAAAAATCTTCATAGAATACCTACCCTAAAACTCTCCCATATTTTTTGACCCATTCTTCATGACATTTGATAGGACCCTGAAACACAGAGCCAGAAAGAAAGTATAAAGATTTCATTTTAAAACTGTTTATAAACCGTTTTCTAATAAATAATTTTCTTACTTTCTCGTACAACTCGAGAAGATTTCCAAACAATAAATTTGGTTTAGGTCCTGGGATGCCGAGCTTTTTAAATGTCGAAATATGCTGCTTCCTCCATCTGCAATGGAAAGTATTTTTAAAATTCTGTCCGGAGGTTTTGTTGTTCAATATACAATAAGACCTTACATCCTTCTATGAGATTAATAATATTTTCTGTCCTGTCAAACCATTTCACGGTATTTTTTTGTAGTTGTTTTAATTACGTTTTTAACAAGTTCCAAACTTCTTTTCGAAGTCATTTTTTCCAACTATAATTTTATTAGCTTTAAAAATTCTACTTTTATATCATTATGAGTTGTTAATTATATGTTTCAAAGGCAATGTATGTTTAAGCATGTCAAATGAAATTTCGTTTTTAACGTAATCTTTGACATTTTGCTTTAAAAATAATAAATTCTAGTCCAGTTAACTGCATTTAGAGCAGGAGGCACCTGCTTGAAATTTTGTAGACCATTTGTTTTTTAATAGGATTATAATATACAGAGAATCGTGATTATAAAAGGAATCTTTCCGAGAAATGAATTTCTCTCAGCACTAGTTTTAACCAGAAGTCGAAACAGTCCTGCTCAGCGATCTCTTACGCTTACATGTTGTGTGCCGTTGTAGTGGCTTATCTCACTTGTCTGATCGTAACATCAGAACAAGCCCCCGAAATTCCTCGTAGAAAGGAGTGCAAGATTGCGCCGCTCGTTGGCAAGAGCCTTGAGAATCATGCAAGTGACAGTATGACTTTGCTCAGTTCCACCCCACCCCCAATTTTAACGGAGAGCACTCCGGGAGGGGGGACAGGTCCGAGAGTACACTACCCTTCTTCCACTACCAGTCAACCTTTCGAGAGGACTTTCGGCTCGCCGCATATTTATAGTACGCCTAATGCCGCACAGATACAATACATTTACAAATATCCATGTCTTCTCCGGAATTCGAACTCGTGACCTTGGGTACAGTATTCAAAGTCACTAACCACTATCCCAGTTGATGGCATATTTTAATGTGTTATAGGTATATCTATTTAGTGTGTTATAGGTATATTTATTTAATGTGTTAAGTGTAAATCTATTTAATGTGTTACGTGGGCGTTAATGTGCTGAGTGTATATCTGTTTAATGTGTTAAGTGTATATATATTTAATGGCTATGTGTATTAATGTTATCTATCAAAACGTACAGTATTTTAATAACGATTTCCATAGGTATTCTTTAATTTATACTCTTGAAGAAAAAAGTTTTCGAAGTGTAGGGACTATAAGAGAGCAAAAACTGAAAGTGCGGTATAAAACGAGCTGAAGTGAAATCGAAAAATACTTCAAGCCTCATATAATTTTAGATTTAATGGAGAAATAAAATAGCGTTAATGGAATGGAAAGACAATTGTGTAGCTCTTGAAAATGATATTTTCCAGTACTGTTTGTATCTTGAAGGTTCAAAAAGAGGAAGACAAGAGAGGAGGGGGGAAATTATAACTCCGCAACGATGCATTTTAAATCAATAGTTTGGCTTAGACCACTAGGAGGACCACCCTTAGAAAAGCATGGTACTGCACTCAGAAAAGTAAAATATGAATCATTGATATGGCAATAAAAATAAAACTGTTATATATAGTACAGAGTTCTCAAACGAGGATGGATTTCATAATTTTGAGGACAGGATTTGTTAAACCTCAGACTTTTTATATCTTCAGTAAACTCAAGATATAATAAAAAAGACTTTACAGAGACTAGTTACAATGAGATTGAAATCACGTGTCTTAAAAAGGTGCGAAAGCTAAAGCGCTAACGTCATGGATGCGTATCGAAACCAGTAAAAGCGTTTCCTTGTTTATTATTAAATATAACAATAATAATTTGCCTATTAATAAACAACGAGATAACATATATTTATTAAATATAATGGCCATTTAATCTATATGTACTTCTGTATCTTGGTAAATAAAACATTTTCGCTCATTTGAAATGTACTAGTTACATCACAAAATCTAAAGAGGGAAAATTATATTCTAACGTATGGCGAAGTGGAAGGAATAGAGCAAAAAGAATTTAAAACTAGATGGATACAGAATTAAATTCCTGTGTTTAATATAATTCAAATAAAGGATTTCTGAACCTATTCCAATGACATATTTCAAATAGGATAAATAGGCAAAGTTGAGAAGGGACATCCTGTATAACCTCCTATCGACTTTATAATGCAGTGTTGGTGATGGTATTCCTTATGAAGGAACATATCATGCAATCGGACAGCCAAACAAACAAAGAGATTGTCAACTGGCATGTTATAAATAAAGTATTCATCATGAAGCATTTATCATGATATCAATGCCTTTAAAGAGTAGACACTTTGTTTTATTTGACTTACTTACCATCAAAAGCTAATTCACAAGTATGAGTAATCCGAAATGTGAAATTTTCTGGAATTCTCTTTTAAAGAAATTAAAGTTGCTTTAGTAAACAAGTTAAAATTTTAACTGTCATTAACAGATTTGGTCTTAAGCTCTTTTATTGTCGATTATTTTGATTCCTGTAAGTATGTTACATTTTTGTCAGCTTGAAAGCATATGCGAAGAACCCCATCGCTAATCGGGAAATGACACAACTTTCATCTTTTTAAACAAAGATATTGGCTAAATTGAAACGCATAATGATGATAACGGTATCATAAAAACTGCATATTGCATTCGAATGACAGTAGGGGTTAAGCATGAGTTACCTGTGCTTGGAGATTCAAGCACATATGTGAGACAATAACCTTAGCGAACATGTATAATGACAATTAGAAAGCATGTGTGATTCGACAGTAAAATATGCTTAATAATTCAAAATACCATTCCAATTTATTTAACTTTGAACAGTCAGCAGGAGTTTTCAATAAAAGGAAACTGAAGAAATCCACAATGCTTTCGCCGAAATTCGAATACCGGACCTCCTGATTACGTGTCAGATGTACTTCCAATTGCACCGCGAAGGCACGCGGAAAGGAGGGAGAAAATACCTGATAACAGGGGGAAAATATATATATATATATATATATATGAGGCTAAAAAAGAAAAATGTGGCTTGGAATTGTTTCAGTTGACAAGTACAGGAAATAAAACTTTCGTGTCTCAGAAGCAGCCAATTAAAAATTAAAATGAGAACATGTATTATCTAGTTTCGAAGACAGCCGTTTAGAAAAACAAGATAATACTGCTGATAAGAATTCTTATCAAGATTCAGGAATAATCATTAAAGCATAAAATAAAGCAATTTAATGCTTGCGGCACACAGCAGTGAGTCCGTGAAGTAAAAAATGCTCAGAATATTAAGAAAGAAAAAGTTTTTAGAAGTGAATGAATTACTATAGCCAAAACTTTAAGCATTTAAAAGTTAAAATATTTAGTTAAACATTTTAGTTAAAAAAATTATAATAAAAACTAGAATTCAGTTCGTTATTTTGCTGTTTAATTAATCTGCTGTTTATTCAATATTGTTTACCTTTTATGATACCTTTTAACACCTTAATAAAGTGGCAAATTCAAATAATTGCAATACGAAGCGTGCAAATCCCTCAAAAAATCGAAATCAGTTTTTCAAAATGAGAGCTATCTCAAAGAATGTAGTAATTAACTCTGGCTGACGGAATTCCATTCCCATAGGTTCAGGTTCGAGTCTCGGATAAAGTATGAGTGTTTGCGTCTAGGCCGTCTTCGCAGCATCGGGGTACTTAAATTATGTTAAACTGAAAATCTTCTGGATATACTGATGATAGTAAAATTAAAATACACGACATTTCCCGAGGTCGCTCACTTTGTGAACAAAGATTCACTTCACAGCCCTTTCAACATGCTCATCTCAACGTAGGCAATAACATAGCATGCTGACAGCTCAATTGGGCATTTTTACCGATGATTCCGAAGGACAGTGGCACAAATAGTCATTTTATCACAGTTACTGCATACTTCATATAACAATGGAAAAGCAGGTTCCTCAACTCAGTCTTTAAAGGCAGAACTTATAGCCCTGAAGACAGACAACAATAAGCTATATCGTTGTTAAGGCATGTTTTCCTATATTCCGGATCAGCTTCCAGCTTAGCAGCAGTGGCAGCACTACAGAAATCTGAGAGTTTTACAAAATTAATAGGTGCCAGCAATTCCAAAGCACGTATGTCCATGCCTGTCGTTGGCACCGGACTATGCAGACTATCATGGGCAATGAAAATGCCAACATCTTAGCCAAACTGTCTGTTAATTATAAAAATAACAACATACATAATATTAAAACATTGTTTCTCATTTCTAAGCTAAATTTAGGCTAAAACAATTAGAATAGCCGTCCAACTCAGATAGCGGTTACGACGCTGACTGCCATATAAGGGCCCGAGTTGGAATCCCGGAGAAGGCATGGATTTTGTAAATGTATAGTGTCTCTGTAGCATGGGGTACTCTAAATATGCGGTGAACTGAATGTCCTCTCGAGAGGTTGATGGTAGGGGAAGAGGAGAGGGAGATCATGGGATTTGTGCCCCCTGGATGCTATCTTTATGCATATGCTCGATTTGAAAAGCTCCAGACCTAGCCTTAACGGAAAGTTTGGCAAGGCCAACTACCCCGAGCGGAAAAGAGAGGGGAATCTGGCAACCAACGGAGGAAGAGAAGCTTGGGCGATGGAGTAGCAGCGTGCAGGGGGTTGTGATACGTGAAACGTTTTTGAACTGAAATGTAGCCGTTATATTCCATTGTTCTTCTTGAATGGGCGGTTTAACAGAACGCTGATATTAAGAACGTAGAAGTGCTTCATGTGACCCTGAAATAATGTTATATTGAGTAAAAAGTGTAAATATATTTTTTGGTTACCTTGGAATGGAAGCGTAGTTTCTTTCTTCGTGCCGAGAACATAGTATATCGTATGTGGATATGTGAAGAATCCGCAATGTTCAGAGATGTGTAGATGACGGGTAACTTATAATATCCATCAAAATTGGGGATGGAACTGAGTAAAGTCGTGCTGTCACCTGCTTGGTGCTGAAGGCTCTTGCCAACGACAGGAGCAATCTTGCACTCCCAGCCACGATGAATTTTGTG